CTACTTCTACCACTACTTCTACTACTTCTACTACTACTTCTGCTAGTTCTACTACTTCTACTACTTCTACTTCTACTACTACGACGACGACTACGACTGCGACTACGACTAACGACTACGACTGCATCTAACGACTGCGAGTGCGACTGCGAGTGCGACTGCTACTCTGCTGCTGCTGCTATTACTAGGGCTACTACTATTGCAGCGACGACTACTACCTAGGCGACGTATTGCTACCGTATCTGTTCTTGCTGCTCCACAGTGTGGTCGCTTCCACCGCCCTTCTTTTTCACTAGCATCAAGCTTGACATTCCTCTTTCTTGATGACTCTTGGGCAGGCTTCTTCTTGTGGGTCTGCATGCTATTTTACTCTGAATCTTACGTTTTACGCGGCAGTGTCTTGCTGTTCTTACAAATGCGAGTACGACAAGCATGGTTGACACAACACACTTGCAATGACCACCATAACGACTTCCTGCGCAATCACCGCAAGGCTGCTATGAGCATGGATCTGGCTTATGTCTTCGGGTAGTTCGTGAGCGGGTACTGCAGTGTCTACGACTTTGTGATAACCATGGTTGTTCCATAGTTACCATGGCACAGCGATTGGACCCCCGATAGGATTTTCAACCCCAACACCACCCAAATTTGCGAACACCGTCCTGAATTTCTTATTTGCGCATTTGGGCTTTGCGGTGCAGGATGGTGTAGGGCGTAAATCTCAGGCATATGAGATATAGTGAGGTTTGTGTGTTGTGTTGAGCGCCGCTTAGCTTGCCTCGCCTTACCTTTCTTGGCTTGGCCTCGTTTCTTGGTCCTGTTGTCTTGGCTTGGCTTTGCGTTTCTTCTTTCTTAGGCGCAGCTTGGCTTGGCTTCGCTTCGCTTGGCTCGGTGTCATTTAACTCCGTGTTAACAACCTGGTATTCTGTGAAAGTGGTACTGCAAGTCCAATTAAGGCACTGGGATTGTGTTTGAGGTTTTGGCAAAATCTTGCGAGAATACAGGGTTCTATAATGTTCCCTTATGAAACTCCTCGAATCCAGCCAGGCCAAGCCCAGCCAAGCAGTACCTTAAGCCCAGCCGCCTGTAGGACAAACAAGGGTCCAGGAGGGAGAACAGATTAGGAAGCAAATGCTCTCACTCAGGGTCGAGTGTGGGAGCATTCTGAGGGTCTTTCGCTTTAAGGCTTCCTGTGTAAGCCTGAAAACACAAACGTTTAGGGATTCGGATTCAAAACTCCAACCCTCATCCGTAGATCTGTAAACGCCAAGCCCTACACCTGCCTCAGCTGCTTGACATGCTGCCGCTGCTCCTTCTGCAGCTCCTCTATAGATGCTAGGAGCTGAAGGTAGTTTTCCATCATAGTCACGAGTCTTCAGTATTCTTGGTTCCCGAGCTCTTACTATAGGTCTCAGTCGTACGATGGTTATTGTTGCTTGTACCTCTGTCGAAGAAACGTAGAGCATGAACGCCCTCTTCGCCATCAGCAGGCACGGAATCTGAGGGCAACAGCATCACAGGCTCTGGAACGACCGTCCGGCTGTCATTCAGGGATCAAGCTTTGGGGCTTGGTATCAGACTCACGCCACTCGGGCCGTTGGGGCTTAAGGACCGGAGTGACCACCGATTCCTCAGACACGCCGGGAATAGAAGCTCAAACGTCTTGAGTGACGGGGGAAGCCTCGACTCTCCAGTGGAAACCTGAACCTTGAACCCTTACGCCGTACAAAACCCTCAATTCATACAACCCGGCGACGCCTGGATCACCTCAAACATCTTCCGGTGCTTGCCCTGCACTTCCCGGGAAATGACGCTGACGGCCTCTCTCCTGAGATGAAGCTTTAATAAACAAGGTTTTGGCCACAAAAGCAGGATAATGACGCATCTAAAAGAGTGGAAAGTCTTAAAAACCAAAGACTGAAGCAACACCAAAACCATGGATCTCTGCAGCTTCGGCTTCCGTGCGTCAGGCTCACAGGCACATACAGACAAACAGTAACGATTAAACCAATAACAACCAGCAACTACCACATTATACATACACGAGTAAGCAAGTCTATCTATGTATGTATTCACACGCGCTTACAGACATATAGACATTTCAACTTTGATAGCGCAGCATTCGAAGACACTATGCGACATGTGGCAGGCTGATGCCTGGCGACCGTAGCCACAATGCTTGGCATTCCGCGAGAGTAACTACATGTAAAAGAGGAAGCAAAGCCGCGTATAGGTGAGCTTGTGACGACATATCGTGCTGCGCAGTGCCAACCGAAGCTATGCAATCATATATGGATCATCGACTAGGCCCTAGGCCAGCCATGACGATCCACAGCAGTTATAATGTAGCAAATCCCATGTCGTTCAGGGGGTATCTAGCTCAACACCTACGAGTCCGAGCCGAGAGTCTTAGACATAGAGACATACATACATACATACATACATACATACGGACAGACAGACAGACAGACAGGCAGACAGACCGACAGACACAAAGACACACAGACACACAGACATACAGACACACAGACACACAGCCACACAGACACACAGACACACAGACACGCAGACACACAGACACACAGACACACAGACATACAGACACACAGACATGCAGACATACAAACATCTCAGACATTCCTACCTACCTGCACCTACCTTCCTTCCTAAAAACATGCATACTTACGTACATACGTACATACAGAGACTCATACATACACAGACATACATACATGCAAACATACATACACCTCTCTACCGTTTACACTTCTACATGTGTGTGTGTGTGCGTGCGTCAATGCGCATTGTCTTACCTGTTTCCTGCCCCTTTTGTCTTCTTCTTCGGGCCCGCAATACATACACGTCTGGGACCTGTGAGCTTCCAACCCAATCCGTAGCCCTGAATCAAGTCTTGACTCCTGAACCCGCACTGCAGGGGTGGTCCGAAATTCGGGAGTCTGTTGTCGCGACGAGCGGCTGCGTGCTGAACAAGTGCTGCTGAGACTGCGCAGTCTCATGCGACTGCTGCCACTGCCGGAATCCTTGCAGACAGGGAGCTCCGGCTCCGGTTTCTAGGAAGGAGCCGAGCTCAAACGCTGAATCAGACTCGAGGCTGCAAGAAACCGTTGGCGTGAACACGACTGAGAAGGGGCACGCCGTGTGCAGCATCCTAGACAAATACCCCCCCCCCCGCCGGAGAATAGCTCGGCAGACCCGACAGCACAGCACAAAAATGATCGCAACCACAAAACAAGATGAAGTAGACCAATGAAACTCAGCAATCATCATCGTCATCCTCCTCGTCATCGCCATTCATTTGGTATTCGAAACAAAGCCGCTGAGAGCGTGGCTTTCCTGCTCGGCACGGCTGGCCTGCTGCAGCTCCCCTGCAGTCAAGACAAAGCTCTAGACTTGATATATGTGTGTGTGGATTCATGTACATACCATACATTACATTACATTGCATTGCATTACATTGCATTACATTACATTACATTGCGTTACATTACATTACATTACAAATATTATATATATATACATACATACATACATACATACATACATACATACATATTTATACTCCATATATACATACTATACATATATATATATACATATATACATATGGTTTTATGTACTCATTGCGGATGCAGGGCGTAGGCGTAAAGGCTATGGGGGACAAATTACAATTTCACGAAACAAGGGTGAACGAAAAAAATTGCATGAGCTCCCTACAGCAGCCCGTTCTGCACTTGCAACCGAAGCCCTGAACCTCCAGTCCAGATAAAACCAAACCTGAAGCAAACCCGAAGGGCACACCTGACTCCTGCTGCGCCAGAATTTCTCTGGCGCGCTCACGCAGGCGGGTCCTTTGGGAAGGCTGCGAGCTTGAGGTTTGTCGCTGCGAAGTGGTTAGGTTTAGGTGCAGATGTTTGGGGTTTAGGGTTCGGGACTTACTCCAGTACAGGTAGGATTTCAGATTTGGAAGGTCGAAAGCCGCATCTCATCATGAGTTAGCCCGTTGTTCAGGCCACAACTTGGAAAACGACGCTCTCGTGGTTAGCTTGTCGATAAGCCTCTTCACCTGTGAACCAGTGCTGGGTGCTTGGGGTTAGATGGTGCTTCTTAGAATTCCGGTGCCTTATTGTGTATTGAACCAACAAACCCCATTATTGCAGGTCATCACTAAGGTCCCCGGTTTCGCCAAAGTCCAGATCCTACATTCGTAATGAAAACCGTAAGTTTTTGTTGCAGCGGATGCCCAGTACCGAACGACTTTCTTGCTTCCTGCAACGCCCCAGTAGACTTGTTGTATTTTAGAATCGCATACCTCCAAGTTTTAATTCTGCACATAGCATCCGAGGTCTCAAGGGGTTGCCACGGAATTACTTAGCCACTAAATGCCATCCCCGATACAAGCACTAAAAAAACTGCAAGTTGGTTCTCTAAAGTTAGGGCTTAGGATGTACAATCTATGGTCCGGGAAGGTGTTTTTGGGGAACGACGGTTCAGGGTTTCAAGTTCTCTTTGATGGCATCGTCGCGCTTCGAGCTTGACAACTGAGAGACAGATTTCACATGTGGAGCAGAGAGGCACAAGGTCTAAGGACTGGGAGTTTCGGTGTCATACTTCAGGACTCAATATTAAGCTTTCGGTGTTGTGCGTGCTTCTCCCTTCGACATAGATCGTACACGATAGAAGCTTGTGGACTTTCACTGGCCCCGAGCGCTGGTGCTGCCAGGCAGCGCCTGAGAAGCTCCTCCTGAACGCGGCGGACAGGCTTAGGGCCCAGGCTCAGGAGCCGTCAGTCCTCAAGCTCTAAACGAACCGAATTCAGGAACCCCACAGTCCCAAAGCATGAACCCGACACCTTCCCATTCAAGAGCCCGGACGCCCCAATTGTTCATAGCACTGGGATTAGATTTCAGGCTTCTGGATACCCCTGCCTGGTAAACCCAGCTTCAGCATCAAGGACAAGTTGGCGGCTGAATGTAGACAAGACAACCACCAACACCCCTCCCCACGCACAAAGACACACATCGAAACAATCCGAAGAGTCTATAAATCCTTCCTCTGTGAACCCGCGAGAAAGAACAGACATATGAAACGTGGAAAGCCAAAAACAAAACACCTACTGTACCAAAGCCGTGCCTTCCACCCGAAGCAGGGCAACTTCGGCATCTTCCTGCTTCTTCTGCGCCTGCACTTTGTAACCCCAAGGTGCAGAGCCGAAGGACTGAGAGACTCAGTCCAAGAGCACGCTCCATGGTTTAAGATTTTAAGATTACCTGCAAGGTTACAATCAAGCCCTCAACACCCGAGAGCTTCACAGAGTGGAGGGTTGAACTACGTTGCATATAGGACTTAAGGCGAACGACAGCAAATTCCCACGGGAGCCTGGCCGGAGGTATCCAATAAGATCCTGTCTCCCCGAAGCCCCAAACTTTCCAGCTCTGCTCCTACAAGATGATGCCCCAGCCCCGAATTTCCGAAAACCTGATCTACCCATCCGGTAGGAGCAAACCGATTCATGAAAACAACCCCGACGAGCCCCAAGACCCACGACCAAAAGCACATGAAGCCCCGCTGAGGTTGCTCAGGATCAATAGGTCAGGGTGTAGTATTTTGATGTTTTGATGTTTTCGGGGACCTTGGACCAGCATTCAGGGCTTCATCTGGACATGTTTCGGTTTTGGGCTTCACGGGATCGAATTCTGACTTGAGGCCCAGAGTCTCTCGGAGAAACCCGCAGTGCACTGATGCTGCAGCTTTCTTGGTACGACCCACTGCATCAACTTGCCCCAATCGCAGGCAGAAGTGCCCTCAACTGATTTTGTCATACCATTCACCCAGCCGACAAGCATGGCCAACAAAGTGTTAGCACGTGTCAGCTGAGGTTCGAAGGTGCTGCAAACACTGGAAGCACCCATGAGCGCACCGGGTATTGATGCATAAACCCCAAACCCTAGCCAGCGCGAGTTCACTCGGAAGTCGACCATCAAACTCCCTCAGCGGGTTCAGCGGATGTATGAGTTTAGGGTTCAGTGTGAATGCAAACCCACCACCCAGGACCCCAAAGCCACAGATCCGAAACCAAAAAAGAGCCTCCAGCTTTGCCAAATGCCGGTCAGCTCGTTCCTCCTGCTCTGCTCTCTAGTGGTGCTCTCCAGGGCTTGCAGTTCCGTGTCAGGTTCAAAGTTGAGCCTCTTCGGTTAAGCCTCCAGGCATTCCTGCCATAGACGTTGACGAAACCTTGAAACCTTGAACCCAACCAAAGCAAACGCGGTTGACCCCTTAACTGACACACAGTCCATAAACAAATAAGAAATCTCCTATGCCCTATAACTCCGTATACCCAAACCTCCAAACCGCAAAAAGCCTAGGCTTTTGCTTGCACACTCCAGGACTTGAAGCCGATAAACCTCGAAGGTTCTCGCGCGCGGCGGCCCTGAAACCCGTGGGAAGGCACCTTCGCCTGCCGAAGCTTCAGCCACTGGGCCTGGCGGAGCCTCAAACTTCAGGTCCGTTGTCAGTATCATTAGTAGTCGTCGTCGTATTATTACTGTGATTATTAATAATCTTGGTATGATTTGTAGTATTACTAACGATACTAGTACTATGACGGCCACTATTGCTACTATTACTATTTTACTGTTATTGTCATCTGCTATTGCCATCTATAGGTTTCTGCTGGTGAGATTTGTGGCGGCACTAATGAACCTAAGTAATGCGATGCTTATCACTCTCGTCGGGTGGTAAGGGCACAGGGCAGGCGAACGAAGCAATCCCAAACCTCGAACTGAGTCCCTCCACCCGAAGCCTAAAAATAGAAGCCCACACGCCAAAAGCCAAACCCAAATCTCAAAAAAAAGCTCTCAAAAAAAAGTTAAACGACACCTCGATGCCGAGAGCTCAGGATTAACATAGGGGCCTTTAAAAAAAAATGACAAGGGTTTTGAGAATATCATCGAAAAAGGAACAGCGACTTGCAGCGGATACCATTGCTTGTTGTTCCGGCCCGCGCGTTAAGCTCCCCACAACAGTACCAGTCTTTGGGCTGTAGGTCTTCAGTGTCAGTTAAGGTAAATGGTTTAAGTTCGGTTTAAGTGTCAACTGCGGTGCCTGTTAAGCTCAGGCCAAGTGACCACACCTACACAGTGGCCTCTTAAAAACCCAATTAATGTTTAGAATGAAGTCTTGAAAAGAACTTCGGCGAGGGATTGCTTCGGCGTGCCTTTCTGCATACCCCGCGCTGTGGAGCTCATCCTCCCGCCTCGTCTCCTGCACGAGGGGCCAGTCTCAAATTACTTACAGCTATCTCTGCTTTCAACCTGGCTCTGTGCTTCGAATGTTTCAAGGTTTTGAGCTTCGGAGCTCAAGCGATTTCGGACTTTAGAGCTTAGCCCACCAGCCATCAAAATCTTCTCCGCCCACCCCACTGCACTCAAAATCACTATTCTTTGGGCTTTTTGAAGTTCCTGGAAAGTCCCTGCAAGTTCCTAAAAATTGGAAGGATTTCACAATGTCCTCGAGGACCTTCGCCACTTTCGCCTCAAGGCCTTCCTGACCTTTGCGAAGGTTCGCGGGCGAGCAGAAGGCTTTGCAACGCAGATGAAAGCAAGAGTGGAAGTGACCTGTAAAACTAGCATGATGTGGTTGCCGGGTAGCACAGGCGAAAGGCGCCGCACAACTCACAACTTGATGACGGCTCTCGCTGTCTACGCGGCTTTGGCCTTATCGAGTTCCAGGGCTGGCCTGAATATGGCGAGTCGAGACACCTAACCTGGCACGAAAGAAAGCTTGCCACGAAAACATCCCTTTGAGGATGCAGCTCCCAGAAAGGGTCAGAAGAGAGGGGCCTTTGGCGTCACCTCCCACGCAGGCAGACGGAGGGGCAGTTATGAGACATGAGCGTGTACAGTAGGGTAGCAGTCTTCGTATGATGGCGATGCTACTGATGCTAGCTTTGGCGTACAAAACGGAGCCAGAACCCGCGGCCATCACTGCAAGCTTGAGCTTGCACACTCAAAACATTCCAACACATTGAACTACGGTGCTTCTGTGGACCTTGTCCCCAGCTAGGCTTGCTGCTGCTGCGGTTGCTGCTGCTGCTGCTGCTGCTGATCCTCCTCCTACTCCTCGTCCTTCTCCTTAGCACCATCATCAACAACGACAACAAGCCTGTGTAGCATTGCTGCCATCATAGGATAAGAACTGGATATTCAGGTCGAAGAATTCGATAAACGAACCTTTCAGCAACGTTTGGAATCGTTTAGTGGGTGGACCGAAAAAATTAAGTAAGGTGCAGTGTAAAATGAAAGATCGTCATCAAGCTCTGCGTCGCGGCATCACTCCGCACGCTTTAAAAAAGCGTCCGGCATGAAACCTACATCCTGAACCGAACATTGAACCATGTGAGTCCAGCACCATCGAGCTATCGCTGAGCCTGGGTGGCCTTTCGCCTTTTGCAGCGCCACGAAAGCCTGCCGGCTTGAGGCTGGGAGTTGGCTGGGTCGGATGGAGCTTGGGACATACAGCTATCTGGTTGCACCGTCTGTGTAGTGCTCAACCCAGGTACCCCTCTTGAAGCCCGAAGCATTGGAAGTTTAAGCCCTCACCCCGCAACCTTTATTCGACGGAAACAACTAAGTCCAACTGGCCTCATAGTCTTTTTGCCACTGCTCCTCAGACGCCTGGAGGACAGGTCGCTGGTCTTACGGCTCCAAGTGTCCAGGCACCACAAGTGTTGCTAGTATCGGGCATCTAAAGCCCTTGTCAAAATCGAAGGGCCCTCAATTGCCCTTACCCATGAGGAAACCACCGTTCAAGTTGCTATCTTCTACCTTTACACTTAGTGTCCTCACGCCTAGAATATGTTCTTCCTGTACTAATAACAATGATGATGATGATGAGCACAAGCCTGCTGTACTCACTTCCAGCAGTGGGTTTCACAGAGCATGGACTCAGGCGTCTGGAGACCCGGGTGCTGCGACACTTGCGGGCTATTTTGAGGCTACCGGCACACCTCACTCGTGTCCCAAACACCGAGATCTGGCACCGTGCGCAGGTCCACCCTCCTGGCCACCAGATACTACGAGCCCTGTCAGCCTTTCGCGCCAGATTGGAGGCCAGAGCACACGCAGCACCGGATATCACCACTGATCCAGCTATGCTCAACCATGTCCGGCAGGAAGAGCAACGGCTCTCCCAAATGCTGCAAAGCCGTGCTCAGAAAGCTGAATCTCCTCGAGCTAGTCAGCTCGAGACCTGGCCTTGCCCACACTGTGAGCACGTGGCCCACACCCAGCATGCCCTGAGGATACACTGTGGACTTCATCATCCAGAGCAGCCCAGGACTACGGTGGGACAGGCCACCACCTTTGATCCCATTCACCACGCGGTAGGGGGACTACCGCACTGCAGGCTGTGTGGCCGCCAATTCAAGAAGTGGCAAAACCTACGACGACAAATTGAAGAAGGCACCTGCGCCGTTCTAGGCGGTGCCAGCTTTGTGCAACAACCACATGCTGAGGTTGAACAGAAGCCGTCCCCACCTGAGCAGGAGAAACCTCCTGTAGCTTCCTCGGCGACGCCGCAAAACACTCCTTTAGTGCTCCGGCCGTTCTTCTTGCGCGAGTGGTCCCAGTGGGACTCCCTGTTGGAGTATGGTCCCCCTGGGGCGCGCCCTACGCGCGCGCGCGCGCTTCGCGCGCTTCGCGCGCTTCGCGCTCGTAGCGCGGCTTCGCCGCCCTACGCGCGCGCG